TAAGGGCATTCCATAGTCTTTCATGATCTATGCAGTCAAAGGCTTTGGCATAGACTATAAAGCACATGCTGACTTTCTTTTGGAACTCCCTGCTATGCTCTATTAGCCATCATATATTTGCAATGTGATGCCTGGTGCCTCTTCCTTTCCTGAAACCTGCTTGGACCTCTGGGATTTCTCTGTGGTTGGAGTCTATGGGCCTCTACAGATTGGCCCAAATGGCCGGCCTGGAGGCAGAGATGGGGAGGGGCAGCCGCATGCTGGCTGCCCAAACTCCATGGCGGTGGCTTCCTGATGGTTCATGCCATTACGCATGGTGCTTGGCATCAGGACGTCCTTCCAGCGCAGTGTTTTGATGTGCTGCACTGGAAGGGGTGCTAAAGAGCCACACACCATCTCTTAGGACGGCCTTTTGCCACCCCTGAAAGGAGCAGCATTTTGCCACTCTTTTTGGGGCGGCAAAAGGGAGGGTTGGAGCTGCGGCATGCGGCAGCAGCGGCCCTGATCCTCTGCTTCCCGGGGCGGCCTAGAGCTGCCCGTCTGCAGCCCCGCTATTTTGCAGTAGTTTGAGCATAATTTTGCTTGCATGGGTGATTAGTACTATGGTCCTAAAGTTGCTGCAGTCTCTTGTGTCTCCCTTTTTGTGGATGGGGATGTATATTGATCCTTTCCAATCTGTTGGCCATCGTTTTGTTTTCCATATCTTTTGACATATGTTGGTTAGCACTAGAATAGACTGTCAGTGTGGATTGCAACAGTTCTATTGGTATATTTTTTTAAAATTATCCTGATTCTGTTGGCTATCAATGTCATCAAGTAGACTCCAGAATTACAGTGGAAAGAAATCTCTCCTCCTGCACCATTTTCTTTTTGTTTTCCCCAATTCTCTTGTTGTAGTGAAGGAACTCTGCCTCCTTGGTCATTTTGGTGGCACTTTTTGGTGCCCTTTTCATATCAGTGATATTATTTCTGAGAAATGTTTAGGAGCGTAATGATCTGCTTTAGCCCTGGTGTGGCCTGTGGAATGTGTGTGTGTGTGTGTGTGTGTGTGTGTGTGTGTATTCTTAAATCCAGTTGCAAGGGGACATAAAAGACAGTGCCTCTAGATCCATAGGGGAGACATCTAGTTAAGAGTTTGAGCTGTGAAGAACTGAAGACTGAATGGTAGAAGAGGTGAAGAGAAAGACTGATGGTTGAGGAAGGATGAGGGATTAGACCTCAGTTCACAGAAGAGAAGCCTGATCTCGTAAGAGCTGGAAAGAGCTGTGTTTGGGGTGGTCATCCTTGACTTCTACAGTTGGATTTTTTTTAAGACTTGGGGTAGGTTGTTTGTTTTTGTCCATGTGCTCTTTTTTTTTTTTAAAGACAACTTTAATTTTATCATCATCATTAAAATTAACAAATCTGATTATTGTTCTCCAAATGTAGTTATACCATCAATACCTCTTACCTTCAAGTAGTTTGTGCTAATTAACTCAAAGTTAATTCATCTGGAGGGAGAGAAGGCAGGCCGGCTCCATTGGGCCTAGCCTGAAAAGAAGAAGGCCCTCCCTCCATCCACCATCATCTGGAGGGAGAGAAGGCAGAATGCGAGCTGTCTTAATCTTATTATGTTTATTTCAATATTGTATTTATTTAACATTTGTAAGCCGCCTTGATTGTTTAGGCAAAAGGCGGGATATAAGAAATAAATTATTATTATTATTATTATTATTAAAGTGTCTTTCAATTCCATTTCTATATATAGACCTTTGCCTATATATGCACTCTCCTAAATGACAAATTGCCCCTCTTGATTTCACTTCTGTAATATCAAAGTAGTTTCAATACACTTGCAAAGTAATGAAAGGATTCAAGTTTTCCATCTATCTACCATTAAGAGGATTGGCTGATTAGAATATACGATTTAGCAGAATGGACAAACCGATTTGTTTATTAGACAAGGTCACCAAAGAATGGGAACCTCTAACAACATATTTTTCAAAGTTTGGACTATTTGATAATTTTATAGTTTAATAACTTGATAACATATTTGAGAATATACTAGTAAGGTATTTGATTTTATGCATATAAAATTTCTTTGTTTAGATTTAAAAAATGTTAGGACGTTATTGTTAGGTTTTGATGGGATATATAGTTAATGTTATAATGTTGAAATGTAAAGATGTGTGTCTGTATTTTTCCTTGCTGGGAAAATCTGCTTTCTGAGGTCAGTTTCACAATTATCAGTCACAGGTGTGTGTTAGTCTAAACAAGCTAAAATTCTGTGAGAAAGAGGTTTATTTACACAAAGGGGTTTTCAATAATAAGGAATGTTTTGGGAACGGCAGTCACATGATGTAATATGGAAATTAGAGTCTGGGCTAACATACGTCATGAAACATAAACCAATCAGTCTGAAAAGGCTACACCCAAAGAGGTGGAGAG